CATTTGTACTACATACATTTTTATTTATTCATTTATTTATTTTAATTTCTACTATATATATATATTATGCTTATAGCCTTTAGTTAGGCCTATAATTAATCAAATCAAATCAAAAATGCATTTATTTTCCATACAATACAGTAATACAGTAAATAAGTATGCAAATTAAAACAAATACATTGTATGGAAGGAGGCTACAGTAAGTTACAACTATTAGGTACTTTGGAATAAATGGTTTACTAGTGTTCTACAAATTATGAAGTAAAAAAAAAAAAAAAAAAAAAAAAAAAAAGTAAAAAAAAAAACAAAACAAAAAAAAAAAAAAAACAAGTCAGTTAGAGTCGGATTGTGGCTGCAGTGGTAATAGCGTGGGCGATGTTGAGAGGTCTTACCATTACGATAAAGACCCTTACCCTTTGCAGGCTCAGTGCATTTTTAGTTTGTCTACCTTGCGTAATAATGTAAGTCGAGGGCGATTGTTCATGTATAGCTTTAGCTAGTTTTAAACGCTTTAGAAAACCCAAACTGCGTTAACATAAACGTTTAATTACCCGTTTGTTAATATTCCAAATTTGTAGAATGTCGTCATAATGTAATAGGCACATCTTTGATATGGTCTTTGCTTGGACAAAATTTAAAAAAGATTCAAGCACGGAAAATGACCGAAGTTCCGGCCAGAAGATCCCTGTGCACAGTGGCGTATCTAGGAGTCCTGAAATGGGGGTGCTGATGGGGGAGGGGGCGAGAAGGTTGGGAGAGGGGGCGAGAAGGTGAAGTGGGGGAATCAATGACCAGTTGAGGGGCGCTAATTCGCAAAACAAGGTGATTTTATGTGACTTTAAACTACTTGACCTTGATTTTTTTTTTTTTTTGTTTCAACAAAAAACTTCTTTTTCAAATTGTTTAAAGCAGTACGTCTGGCCGGCAGGATTTGAACCTGCGATCTCTCGATGACAAATCGAATGTCATACCATTAAAGTAGTAAAGAATAGGACCGTTCACATCAAATTTGTACGATTTCTCCGCATCCGAACTCTGCATCCGGACTGATGGATCTGAGAGCCATTTGTATCCTGAAATCGTACGGGTTTTTTTTCTTTGACCAATCAGCAAAAGCTTGGTTGGTTTGAACCAATCGAACGCATACGTACTTAACCCGAACAACCGTGTTCCTTGGGCGATGTAAACGCAGCGTTCAAAAAACGTACCGTAGCAAATCACGATTTTTATATCCAGGTTTGATGTGAGCGTAGCTTAAGACCAACTCAGGCAGCGTCGTACGACGCAGCCCGACGCGATTTTTCGTCGTGGACAGTCTTGAGCCGTCGTGAGAAATATTAAACATGTTTAGTGTTCTACGACGCGACTGGCCCCGACGCAAACCTTCTCGTCTGCGTTTAACTCACACAGACCCGACGCGGCAACCATAACACTTCTTCAAAACAACGCAATCACAAAGCAAGAGTAGGCCTACTGCAGCACTGATGTACTGTACTCTAGCAGCTGTACAAATTATAATAAGTAACAATGTAGTTTTAGTTTGCTTTAATTATTTGAACGTACACTTTCAGAACATTGGCACTCGATAATTTGACGGTGCGTTCGACAACATATCAAAGCCTAAACTAATATAGGTTAATCAGACAATTATTACAATGTAAAATGGTAAAGAAGAAACCCAACATATTTTGAACTTTTCAACAAAAGAAATCCAATTTCATTTTCATTCCTTTCAGTTAAGTTTTTTGGTTAAACGACCCAATCCTTATATGAATGCATAGTAATTTCCATATTCATGGATAGTATAGGTAATGAAGAAAAATCAATAGTACATATAAATCATAACCAATCAATTGTGAAGAAAAAAAAGTAAAAAGAAATAATGTTTGTACACTAAACAACAAATGTTTCCTTTCTATACCTTAAATATCTATAAATACATGAATTGTGAATGATGATATGGACGTACCTACTTTTCCCCCATCAAAATAATATGTAGACAATCCCCTCTCCCTTTAACTTTAAATTGTCAATTGGAACAAAATTTCGCTGTGTAACGTTGTATATCATAATCATGAGCTATTATGGGAAGATGACCAACATCGTGAGCTATTATGGGAAGATGACTAACTCAATAAAATCCAAAATTTGCCTAGACGGACGAACATCGAGCAAATCATACTCCCAGGCAATAATGAGGAGGAAGGTGTTGGTCCAGTCCTCTAGGGATATAACATACAGTATAAACAGAGAGTGTATAGCATGGTCCTCACGAGAGCCCTAGTATCCGGATCGGGAGCTAACCGTTAGCGCTACCATTAGCACCTAACGCCCGATCGGTTAGCGCTAACAGTTAGCAGTATCCGGATACCGCTAACGGTTCGCAAGCGCTATCGGTTAGAAAGTTGAGCGCGTTTTTATCATCAACCAATCACAAGTACGCGTTTACGATTTCCAGTTCGATCATCATATTTTTGGTATCCGGATCGGGATTTTCTCGTATGGACGCACGGCAGCTAACGATTAGCAGGATCCGGATCCTGCTAACCGTTAGCAGCCGTGTGAGAACTTAGCCTATAATAGAGTCGGACCTCTTGCAGTTCTACACACTTTGACATAAGTGTTTTTCCAAGATACATTTACAAATCAGCTATTGCACTGGTTCTACCTATACTGTCTTTTTTTAATTAATGTCGGGGTGCCACAGAGGGGTACCATACTCAAGAACGGGACATAGCTTAACAAGTCCAGAAGTATTGAGACCAGTTGGTCCCTCCATCTCTCATTAGTCCAATGTTAAATGAGTTGTACTCATGAATTTGCTAGTTTTATCGACAGCAGTATTTTCGGAAATGGTTGCTCGTCTACATCTCGTCTCTAGACATTGTCTCCGACGATCTTTTTTCAACAGAAATGTTTTATGTATCTTTATTCTTCGAAGAGCAATGCCATAAGAATAACACATATAAACTTGGAATTAACGCAAAGGCTTGTAAGGCTGTGCTTATCTGGAAACAAAATAGCAAATCCTTGTCACTGTTAAAAAATCCTGAAAGATACAAAATATATACACGTGTATTAATGATAATGATAACTACATTCCAGTCAATCACTGAATTAGAACATTGGGATTTTTACGTTTTTGTACAGATATGAATAAAGGCCTTCGTAGGAGATTATTCCCATCATAAGAAAACAAAACTAAAAAAAGTTTCTAAAAAGAAGACAATCTTACCCAGTAATCCGGCTAAAAGGTTACCTATGCCTGCAAATGCTTTGCACCAGGCTATGGCGCCACCAGCGTGTGCTGTATCCACCGACTTTATTGCCAGGAAGTGTATTAAGCAGGATTGCAATCCATACGCCGCTCCATGTATAAATGATGATAAAGCCAGAGAAGTATACTGGTTCGAGAATATGAAAAATGTAAGTGCTACGACGTCGATGAATAGTGTTAACACCAAAAGCTTGGTTGATATATTTACCGTCTGTGGAACAATACACTGTACTATTCTAACAATAACACATCCCATTCCTACAAGCGTTTTCAGAAAGCTTGCCTGCAAAGGCTCAATACTGATGCTAATGGCGTAAGGTATTAAACTCAAGTGGAATACTACAATAACAAACCAGATACAACCGGAAACAAAAAACAACGCATTTAATGTCATATTTTTGAACACGGAAAGTTGAAGACTTTTTCCAATCTTCCCTAAGAATGTTTTGTCTTCTTGATTTTTTCCAATTTCTGTGTAAGTGATGTCTTGTTTGCGGCCAATGCTGGAATCAAGAGCCGTTGCTGTCACTAATCCATGCAAATGTAATGCTCCTGTCACAAGTAAAGCCCCTCTCCAACCATAATTTTCTAACCAGACCTAACAAATAGAAGAAGATAATTGTAATGATGTATAGGGCGATATTTGATTAATTATTTTTAAGAATCACCCATAATTAAGTGCAGTTGTTAAAGGATAGCAAATGACACCTCTATCAATGTCTTTACCAGATGTTCGCTAAATCCAAATTAACACTGCTATAATTTCTTTACCAAAGACATCGTTAAATAGGTTAAAATAGGAGGCTACACTATTGAGAGAAATGATAGTTTGCACTTAATCGAACATACACCGTGCATGCTCGAATAGAAACGATCTCATGAACGAATGTATTTGCTTGGAACTACCCTTTTAAACACAAAGAAAACGTTTCAACATTTCTGATTCATCTAGATTGTTTGCAACAAATTCAACCAGGATCTAAAACAAATATAATGGGAGACTTCAATGTCAATACTTTAACTGCCTAGTTAAAGTTACATGGCGTCTTATCAAAGGACAAACTCGAGTAGGAAAATTTTCTTCATGCATCGGCCAATTTTGTTGTAGCACACCTATCAGACTCTAGAGTTTGTCTCACTTTCTTTACTAGAAAATCTTCTAAAATTAAGTATTCTTCCCATAGATATATCAAATTGCGGTCTTTCAAAGGGTTGTCTTGAAATTATTGTCTTAGTTTTCTTACTATAATTCCGAGTTTACTTATAATAAGCTGTCTGTTAATTTTGACAACACAGAATGCTTTATACATTTGCTTCTAAGCGAATGCTCTGTAAAGTTAAGAACTTTCATGTCAGTTCTTGTGGTCATACCATCAAAGGATCTACCTCAATCACTTACCTTGACCTAGAACTAAATGAACGCTTGACGTGAACACATTTGCTAATTTTGTTTAAAATAACTCATCACAAGAAAAAAAAACATCCTAAAAGTCTAGGCCGTCTCTGAATAAAGAAAAAAGCAAGCTTTATTAGGCCCTACTTTAACTCTAGGCTTGTACAGGAATGCTAAGTCTGTCAACATTATGGTCCGAAAATTGTTCTGCTCTGCATTAATTTTTTCCCACTTTGACCAGCTTTGACTATTGCGCCATGCCTGGTATGATGGTCATCTTAAAGAACAAGTTACAGACAATGCAAAATAAAACTGCTAGGTTTATCCATGGAGGCAGTGATCTCACCAGCTATACTTAAGAGTGGCAGGACCGCGACGCTTGGGCGAAAAAAACGAGATGACCGCCACGCTTAGGCAAAAATAACTAAGCCTGCACCACGCTTAAAATATCATCGCCACGCTAAAACAATGTATAGTAAATTTTATTCAAGACGTTACCAAGATAACGATAGTGTGGCACTATTAGGCAGTTCCACAGTGTTTCCATTTAAAAATTCATAATTCAAGTTTAAAAGGACCCCTCAATAAATTCCATAATTATTGATTGTATTATTCATTGCAATTTACATGTTACGTACTACCAAGCAAACACTACAAGTAGGTTGCCTTTTTTTAAAAACTTTTTTACAAAAATAGAAAACAACCATGAACAGCTTCGTATCTGTTGAATAGATTGAAGGCCGCTATTTTCTTTCGTATGCTTGGACCACAGCACGATGCCCCTTTAAAAAAAATTGAAACACAATAGCCTATTTTTAAAGGAAGTGGAATATCGGCATGCACGTCTTTGTGTGATGTCTTAAAGTTGGTTCAACTATGTTGTGCACGTTTTTGAATCTCATCATACTTCTTGAATACGTATTAGATTTACTAAAACGCTTCGTGCACTGACTAAAAAATAGGAAGCCACGTGGGATTCGGTCGAGTCAGAATGATCACGTACATTTGTGCAATTTAGCCACTGATGATTTTAACTTTAAAAACTTTAAATTTTAAAATTGTTAACTTGTTAAATGTTTTACTTTTCCGAATGTTATCTTCAATTTTAAAACATCTTTGTTGTTTGTTAAAACTGTTTTCATTCTGCCTGGGATCCAATTAAAAATGAGCCAGCATTTACTAGCTTATACCCATTGTACTAGTACTGTATTACTATTTCTAGTACAGGTAGTAGTAGCAGTAGCGGTAGCAGTAGTAGTAGTAGCAGCAGCAGCAGCAGCAGCAGCAGTAGTAGCAGCAGTGGTAGTAGTTGTAGTTGTAGTATATAGTAGCAGTAGTAGTAGTAATTTTTTTAATTTAAATTGTTTATCTTACCTGTGTAACAGGAGGGGTTGCAGTGCCAACCATATATACAAGGGTGACAAATCCAATTGCGTTACTGAGATGGTCGACAAATATTGACCCTAACACAGATATACTTGTTGAAATTATCAAACCATTAGCAAGACCTATGCAAATGATAACAAATATTTGTCGTTTGTCATTGCAATTTATTTTGCTTTCGGAAATAAATTTCGAATTTTATTTTTGTATGTTTCTTGTTCCACTAAAATTTTGAATCTTCATTTAACGATCCAAATATACATGAATCTTATGCTTTTATATTTAGAGATATTTGAGGCATAATCCCTTTTCAATTTAAGAATGGATTAGGCACACCTAGTGTGTGTGGGTTGGGGGTGGGGGTGTATTTATGTATCCACGTTACCTAGCACCGTCATCCAAACGGCGAAAGACACTGCATCGTTTATAGTTGAAAGCATGCACGTCGAAAATAATCTCAACAAAGTAGATACAATCGTTAAGTATTTCAGTCCAATATGTTTGAGTAAGTTTTCTCCCATGAATCCTGTAAATATTTAGAAACTTTTTGTAAACAACTGTACTTATTTTTCAATTAGGCAGGTCGATTTGTTACAACAAAAATAATGTAACAACTAAATTAAAGAGTGTATAATAACAAGATCCTGATAGATCATGATTATAGCAGCACTGATTTATGCAAATATCAACAATGTTTCTTACTCTGTACACTTTCTATTTTGATGTATTATATTCAATGTTTCTTTTCCTACTCATTGAAGTAGCGTATCTAGGGCGTACGGGGTGGTCAAGGAAAAATACTCGCTCCCCCTCCCCCCTCAGCAATCACGCTCATTTAGTTAAAAATCACATCACCTTATCTACTACTACTTACCAGTAAAGCTGTAGACAGCCATTGATATAGCTGCAATGAATGTTATATATCCATCCGTGCAACCTATCGAATCTGCAATTGCTGCATTCAAAACCCCCATGATGACATTAGTCACACCAAGCATGAAGTACAGAAATCCATTGTTGAGTAGGCAGAGAAGTTTATCTGTATTTGATAAGTTGGAGTGCGGTAAATGGACATTTTCCATTGCTACTCAAACAATTTTTTTCTAAACTTGATTTGCAATGGCCAACCTTTAGCTGTGTAATACCTATATGACTATGTCGTAGTGTCGTCGTAATAACAATAAACTTGTGGTTTAGCATACATGTTTACATGTATTTTGCACAATGAAATGTTACGCTTGATGGATAATATTTGTTTAGGAGGTGAGTAGGGCCTAGGCCTTGTTCAACTTGAAGTGAAATAAAATATGGCTGAAAATAGAACTAGGTGGAAAATCTTCAAAGACTATAGATTGTGAGCCAAACCCTACAAAAGCTAGCCAGTCAGGCCATGACAGGCCATGACAGGCCTAGGACTAGGCCAATAGTAGCTCAACAACAGGCAGGAGATGAAGACTGTGTTTGTGCTACCTGTAGTACTACAATAAGAGAGAAAGACAAAGGCATACAATGTGATATTTGTAAACTATGGTTTTGCCTAAAGTGCTCAAAATTACCTAGTAAAATATATGCGCTCTTGTCAGATAGTGATAAAAAAAACTTTTTGTGGTCATGCGATACCATGCCTGGTACAGCTACCTCTTTTAAAGAAAATAGCAGAATTAAATGACTTGTAAGTAAGTGTGAATGGCAGACTGAATAATTTTGAAAAAATTCAAAAAACCAGTCAAAAAATTCTGCAAAAGCTAATAAGATTATTGAAACTATAGAAAAAAAATCAGGAAATTACCAGGAAAGATTTAACAGAATTGAAAATTAGCTATGAACAACTGGAAGCAAAGACCAAGGACAGTGTAAAGGAAGGTATTGCAGAATATAGAGACAGGGAATCTCGAAAATTCAACATTATTATTGAAAATTTACCTGAATCGGAGAACCCAACCCCCCAACATAGGCGGAAGGATGACATTGTTGCTATTTAAAAAATATTCACAAAATGTTTCTAAGTATAGATGGTGTAAAAATAATGGATGCTGGCAGGCTTGGTAAATATACTGAAGATGGATGTAGAATGGTGAGACCTACATTAGACTCCCTAAAAAGCAAAAGAGATGTTATGATTAATGCTAAGAAAATGTACATAAATCCCGACAGAACGAAAAAAGAAAGACAACGAAATTATGAGCTAAGACAAGAATTAAGAACAAGAAAAGAAAATGGAGCGAAGAATCTCATCATAAGTAGAGGGAAGGTTGTAAAGCGAATGGGAGAGCAAACTGGTTTTTTTTTCGAGGCCCAAATCACATCCCATAAATCAACTTTGAGAAAGGAACGTTTATGTTTAGAAGAAATCCCTTTTAATTTAGAAGGCAATGTTAAACCAAATGGATATCAAAAAGTAAAAGGAAAAGTTACGTTGCTGGATAGAAAAGAGATCTTCAAGCCTTTATTTTGAAAGAGAACATACAAAAGCATACTAGTGCTAGAAATGAGATTATTAATACGTTGTGTTTAAATTTTTTAAGTTTCCTTTATACAAATGCGGATGCGTTGAGAAATAAAATGGGAGAGCTTCGAGAAATTGCCTACCAGAGGAAGCTAGACGTGAATGCAATAACTGAGGTTAATAACAAAGCAGGTGTTGCTGCTTTTGATGCTGAGCTAAGTCTTAAACTGATATACAAAATTTGATTCGGGTAGAAGTGGCAGAGGTGTTTTTATATATGTGAAAGAAGACCTAAATGCAACCATTTTTAACGAATTGTTAAATCAAGAATATAATGAAGGAGTATGGATTATAATTTCTAATAACAGACAAAAAAATTATTTGGTTGCATATATAGAAGCCCAAATAGTAATGACACAAATAATCATTTGTTACTGTCTGACATTAACAACGGGTACAGACCTCATTATGGTAGGTGATTTCAACTATCCTGAGATTGATTGGTATTCATGGGCCATAACGAAAAATGCATTAAACAATAGCAACATATTTATTGAATGCTTGAGAGACCATTTTGTAAGTCAGTGTATACACCAACCTACAAGATACCGTGAAGCCCAAACACCTAACACGCTTAACCTAGTAATAACCACTGATGAGACAAAGATAAACAACATTGACATAGAACCACCACTCGGAAAGAGTCACAATCTTCTTCAAGTACGCCTGTGAAAATAAAAGCAAAGAGGTAATAGAATGTAAACTTAACTACAACAAGGGTGACTATACTAAACTTAAAAATATGCTAGCAGAGGTAAATTTGAACACTCAAATTGAAAACACAAATGTAAATAATGCATGTGAAATTTTCAACAAAACAATAAGAAATGCTGTTGAAAATTGTATCCCTAAGTCTAGCATAAAGAAGAAGAACAAACCAATATGGATGACCAGAGAAATCCAGAGAAAAATAAAAAGAAAAAATATACAAGAACTAGACAGATGAAAGAGTATGACAACTAAAAAAAAGCAAGAAACTTGGTAACAAATGGTAAGAAGGCTGCACAGAAAGCAATTGAGCGAAAAATTTGTAATGAGGTTAAAATAAACCCAAAAATTTCTGGAAATACGTACGAGAGAAAACCAAATCATATCAATCGGTTGGATCTATTAAGGATGAAATGGGAAACACCATTGATGATCCAACAGATCGGCAGGCCCAAATGATTTGAATTGAAGAGTGCTGAAAGAAATATGCGAGGACATTTTAACTCATTTGACCAACCTATCAATAAATCACTATCAGATGGCGAACTACCAGAATGTTGGAAGAGTGCTCAAGTAGTCCCAATATACAAGAAAGGGGATAAATCAAATGTGAGTAACTATAGGCCAATAAGATTAACATCAATTATTTGCAAACTACTTGAATCATTAGTGAGATTTACATTGTGTATTTCCTTAATGAAAGAAATCTGATTTCAAATGCTCAACATGGCTTCAGAAAATGGAGATCGTGTGTTTCGCAATTGATTAAGGTAATGGATGAATGGACAAAATTATTGGACGCTGGCGAAAATTTTGATACAGTGTATCTAGATTTTAGGAAGGCGTTCGACTCCATCCTCCATCAGAGAATGCTAAACAAATTAGAAGCATCGGAATAAAAGAAAACCTCCTGAACTGGTTAACGCAGTTTTTAACAGGAAGAAAACGGGTGTCTAGAAAACTAAGATCTAGAAATCTAAGACATAAGATATCTTAGTTTTCTAAATCTAGAAAACTAAGATATCTTAATTTTCTAGATCAAGAAAACTAAGATATCTTAGTTTTTTAAGATTTTTAATGATGGGTTTTACCATTATATCATGAGGTATTTTGATTTTAAAGCAGTAAAATAAGGTTATACCATTATCTCTGAAGTGGGTTAATTTTTTTTCCTAAGGAATTTGGAAGTAATATATCCTTGATTTTACTGTACAGACCATTTAGCATAATTTTATTTGAATAAATGGAAATTCTACAGGTTGGATTAATTCATTAGATTGTTAAAGCTTTGATAGTCATTATTTAATTATTTGCTTTCCTCATATATTTATCTAGCATTAATGATTGATTGTCTCCTGACAATGACTGTATAAATCCTAAAATAAATTTGAAATTTTGCTTAATAAAAAATTAGTATATTTAAAAAAATGTGTACCCTAGTTTCTAATATGCTAATGCTTGTTAGCATTTTAATTTAGGTACTAACTTATATGCTCAAGTTTGCTACTTTGAGCAAATTAATTTCAAATTAGTATTTAGGAGTATTGAAATTGTGGGGTGGGGGATGACGGGTGATGGGAAGGAGGATTCATGATTTGTGAGGACGTTAGCTCGCAAAATACTGTAATTTTATGTGATTTGAAACTACTTAAAGTGTGACATTTTTAGGGGGAGAGAGGGACTGGTGAAGCATGAGTATTTTTTGGAGGGGCGTATGGATGTATTTATGTTTATTATTAGGCCTATATCTATAGATTATGAAATAGCGTTCATAATATGTGATAGTACCTAGAAACAACAAGCTGGGTAATGTAGATACCACTGTACATTTGAAATGTAGACAGTAGAGGAATTTGAACACTGTTATTACTATTTATAATAACATCTCATTAAAATAAATGACATGCTCTC